GAAACCGAACATTCCGAAATTATGACGTAGAAGGTTGCTTGCACCCCAAACATGAGGACAGGCAGGTCCGAACGCACAGCATGCTGCCCTTGCCCAGAAAACAGCCCTTAAACCCTTTAGGCGCAAGCCATTCTAATACGAGCGGATGAGCTTGCGATTCTCCCTGCCCCGTCAGAGGAGGCATGCCCCAATGTTATAACTGCGAGGGTCCTCAACGATTCTGCTTCCCTAACCATTGCGGGGCGTGCTCCACTCGTCCAAATTCAAAATGGGAGGCCTTGGGAAATGGTGGTTTTTGCCATTTTTGCGTTCTTCAAGGTGGATTTTCGGAATCAGCGCCTCGAGTTGCCTTAGGTAAGCAAAAAAACTCCAAGTCGAGAATCTGCTGAGCCGCTGCCTTCAAGATGTAATCTAACAAACTAATCCCATTCGCGATTTATCGTTTTTTCCTCGCATCTTCTGTTCAAGAAAGCTGAGATTTGGCGAGCTGGAGTATTGGCCTGAAGATTTCCAACTGCACACTAATGATCTGAAGGCCTTCGACTGCTGTTCTCAATTTATTGCTTGACCGTTTATTTGCATTTGCAACTCCATCCTAAGCTGCTCCACCAGTTGCGAGCATCCTAGGATGGAGTTGCAAATGCAAATAAATCAGAAGTCATTAACTGCCCTATCACTTCTTTCTCGCACTCCAAGATAAGAAACGGACACGCGATTTCAGGACAGAATTCCAGTTCCGTTGGTGACATGATTGGGGAGGCTAGGACTGTAGTGCATATTCGAAGCGCAAACGGCACTATGATTATGACTACAATATCACAATATCATATCATAACTCGTCAAAAAAGTCGCCGGACTTGCGCCGGAATGCGACGCAGTCCACTAGAGTGCAGCGGAGTGCGCCGCACAACACTAGAATCCGCCGGAATCCGAGCCGCATCGCCATATCTTGCTTCAAGACGAATTCTGAATTCGAGGAAACCGCTCGATTCAACTCGGCGATACGCTTCATACGATATTTAGAAATGCAATCTGTCAGGATACCGGTAGGTATACGGTAGACAGTAGGTTTTCGCTCAATTTTGCAGATTTTTGTTTGGTTGGATGGTTCAGTGTACTGATAACAATACTGCCATTGATTTGTCGCTGATGACATATAGTAGGTATACTGGAGGAGTATGGTAGAGAGTCACTCTGATCGAATCGTATGTAAAAAGCTGAATGTCAGTTTGCCTGTTTGTTTGTGTGTATCTGCCTAGGCTACCTTAAGTTACCGATCGATATCGATTCTATCGATTTTCATGATTTTTTGCAAAATTCGAGCTGCGGGCCTGGGAAATGGCACAGGAGGGTAATCGAGCATGCTGACTACGAAAACAATATTAGTTTTTGAAAGTTTCCCTTACTTTCGTCGATTTTATCGATTTTTTGCAAGGTTCGACCTACGGGGCTGGTAGTTCGCACAGTGGTTCAAGTGAGCATGCTGATCACTAACACAGTGGAAAGGGATTGGCATGCAAAGTGAGCACAGGAAAAGGTTGTACAGGGATAAGGATGGGACCTTTATCATAGTGTTTTGACAGGGGCGGGCGGAGCCAAGTAAGCCAGCTAGTTTGTTCTAAAATCAGCTCAAGGTATAATACCGCTCACGGAATGTGCAAAATTTCCGAGAACGTCGCGCACCGGGAATTCCGCAAAAGTTTGCGATATTCCGGGAGCCGACTTTGCAGGAACCGCGGAATCACGGGCATCACGCGGACTACGCAGCACCATAACTTCCTTCATAAATGTATTCTGAATCCGAAAGTTCGAAAATCCGAAAGAATCCAAATATTGTGTTTAGCTCGCCCAGGTAAATCTTTTTATGTACAGCATGCCCTCGACATTCCGTTTCCAGTTTTCTCAAATTCTTCTGTGGAGGTCCTTTCGCGAGGATGTAACGCAGCGTCTTTTCAGCATAAAAGGCTTCAGTAATTACGGTCTGATAGTACTGTTCTTATAGCTTATTATGCGCTAAAAAGTAGCCGCAGACTGCCTTTCAAAAGAGTTAAAAGCGTTGATGAATTTCGGAAAAATCGCGCGTTTCCAAATTCTACTCGCCGTAACTTCCTTCGCAATGAATATATTCCTTACCCAAAAAGAGCAATGTGCTCAGCTGATCAAGGTAAATCTTTCTATATACAGCATGTCCATGATATTCCGATTTCATTATTCTCAAATCTTTCTGTGGACATCTTTTCACAGAGGCGTAAGGCAGCGCTCATTGCCCCTAGTAGACTCCAAAAATGACCTTTCGATAGTACTTTTTCTGTAGATTATGGAACCTAGAAAAGCCGCCGTAGACCCCTTTCCAAAGGAAATAGATGGGCTAAGTAAACTGTGGACAATTCTTGTCGTCCCAAACTCTACTCATCACAACCCTAGAATACAAAGCTATCTTGCTAAGCGGATTTGAATTTCGTAATCAGCAGGTTAGATAACCCCTATGAACAAGTCCTCAGAGAACTTCGGGTTATTTCATTTTTTTCTCGTTTTGCGCTCGACGATAGATTTTCAAAATGTTGATGATCTTGGATTGTAAGGAAACTTCGCTCATAAGAGGTAACACGCTGTTTATGAAAATCGTAGTCTCTGTCAAGTGGGTCTTTTTGCAGAGATATGGTGAGCTAACGGAAACGGAGTCACGAATGCTCGAAATTTCTCCTGCGCCGATCGCGTACCTGCCAGAAAACTTGCATGCTTGCTCAAACTATTAGAGTTACTAATAACTGTGCTATCGAATGGTACATGCCTCAGGCTTCAGTCTATAATAATCGCCGAGTCACGAGCCTACGAAAACAGTCCTCATGCATTTTACCAAAATGTAATGATCGCATACTATGTCGAAATTCCACCTGACTGGTCATGACAGTCTAATTGCAATTATTATGTTCACTTCGACGAAGGGACACCGTATTGAAATCTGTGGTTGCGTGTCAGCTGCTTAATTGAATATTAAAGCAGCTTCGTGGCTGGATTCAGACCTATCTAACTATCAAATCCAACACAGGAAGATCCATTAAGCGATGTGAACGGCTTTGATCAGCGTTTTATACAACCACTCACGATGAAAATTCGACGGAGTATGCGATCTTTACATTTTCGGCAAAATGCATGAGGGCGTGTTTTCGTGGGCTCGTAACTTGGCGACTTTATAGACTGGAGCCTAAGACATGCACCATCGATAACACAGTCTCTAGTAACTTTAACTTCGAAAGCAAGCAGGCAAGTCCTTGGAAAGATACATGAGAGCTGCAGGCGAAGTTACGAGCTTCCGTAACTCCGTTGCAGTTACCTACTTACATATATTTGCAAAAAAGACCCTCTACTTGACCATAGACCAAGATTTTCATAAACAACGTGTTCCAACACCTCTATGAGCAGAATGTCCTTTCAAATCAATATCATCAACACTTCGGCCAAATCCCACTGGCAAGCTTAAGGGCGTGGAACGAGAAAAAATCAAGTAAGCCGAAGATCTCTGAAAACTTGCTAATAGGAATATCTAGCCTGCTGATTGGGAAACTCTCAAAATCAAAGTCAATTAGCAAGATAGCTTTATATTCTACGGTTACGACGAGTAGAATTTTTGACAACAAGATTTTTTCATAACTCACAGCCCATCTATTTCCTTTGAGAGTGGGTCTACGGCGACTTTTCAAAGCTCCATAATCTACAGAAAAATTACTATCAAAAAGTCATTTCTGGAGTCTACTAGGGGCAATGCGCGCTGCCTTACGCCTCTGTGAAAAGACGTCCACAAAAGATTTGAGAATACTGAAATGGGAATATCAAGGGCATGTTGTATATAGAAAGATTTGTCTTGATCAGCTGAGCACAATACTCTTTTCGGATTCAGAATATATTCATTGCGAAGGAAATTACGGCGAGTAGAACTTGGAAAGGGTTGTTTCATAATGCAGTCGCTGCAGCAACGGCAGTCAATCGATCGATATCCTTTGCCCTACCTGACAGATTGTGGCATTTCTACATAATGTATGATGCGTCTCGCCAAGTTGAATCGAGTGGTTTCTTCGGATTCAGAATTCGTTCATTTTGAAACGAGATATGGCGATGCGACGCGGATTCCGATGGACTATAGTGGTCTGCGGCGCACTCCGCTGCACTCTGGTGGACTGCGGCGCAGTCCGGCGACTTTTTGACGAATTATGAGCGGTATTATAGATTGCATAATGGTCTTAGGTCTTTGCATAATGATTATGATTTAGTATGTTTTTAGGAATAATGATTACAAGTTTCATTTACGTCCGGATTCTTAATAGCTCGTCCCTAGTTCTTTAGCAAAGACTTGTTTACCTGAAATAGATGCAAAATATGATTTGTCTCAGCAACATATTGAAGAATCAATTAGAAACAGGTCAAGCCCTACTTGTGGGGAGACTTTGCTTAAGTGGATTCGCGAATGCCCCTTTGTTGATCTTCTTCAAAATTTTGGAGGAATTCCACGTTGTTGTGCAGGAGAGTTTTATTAGCCTTTCTTATCCCCCTAATTCTAGAGTGCAAAAGATTTATTACTGTCTGGGTATGATGTGCTCAGGGCTCGAAAGAGATGACTCTAACAAGTTTGAGGAGATGTCCCTGCGATGTTCATGAAAAACCGGGTAGAAAAAGAAAAAACATACTTGATTTGTACGGCGTGCACCATCGCCCGTTTGGAGCACATTGTTGCCACCACTCGCGTCAGAAACTTTAGGATTTGGGGCAAGAGGATAGGGGGGGACTAAGCGCAGAGGAGCGTGAAGTTACTTATGAACAAGTTTATGGTGTTGAGAATGTACATTAGTTAATGTTTATACCTTTGTTGTGAGCACCTTGGGCGGCTCGCTAGGGGTCTTGCTATTTAGGTAAACGTAAATCACACGAACTGCTCCGGAATTTTTAGATTCCAACAAATATAATTGCTTATAACTCAAGCTTCTTCAGCTTCATCTTCTAGATTCCTAAAGAAGTCTTCGTGATCCCCATCTCTTCTTGCTTGTATCTCTTTGGCTATTCTTCGAAATTTGATTCTGAAATAATTTTTGTATTGAGGATAAAAAACTATTTCCATAATTGCCTTCTAGACTGCGTTTGGGATACAGTGAGGATACTTCCTTATGATGGCGCAGCAAATATGAAGGAGCGATAATTCCAGCACTATATCATTGTTGAAATTTGCGTAACCCAAAGAACTGGGAAAACAGCTTGATAAAGCTTTCGAAAAGCCAGGTAAAGAGCTCGGGAAATGTCAAAATCAAATAAGGGAGATTATGCATAATGACTTAGCCTCGCAAAGACGCTTTGAACCATTTGCAAGAATTTGAGACACAGCGGAGTAACTTTAAAACCTTGGGTGGAAATAAAGATCGCATAGCAAACGTCTTTGGCACAAGCACTAGCTTGCTGCAGAAGCTCTGCCCGATTCTTGTTGTCTCATAATCGATGCCGCTGTTCCGAGAAATTAATTCTCAATGCAATCTTATTTGTGGAAAGCGCTTTTCTTGCTGTTTCCGAGACATAATAAATTTCAGTGAACTCCACAATCTAGCCAGAGTGCTGGCTTAGAATCTGACGTAGCCGAAAATAAGGAATACGGTCCTACCTAAGAGATATGTGCTTGCAAAAATTCATAGTGCATCCCTTAAGTCAGGTCCTTATATTTGTCAAGAATCGAAGATATTTAACAAGCTTGTATATATTCAGAAACCATTCTCATGTAAAAATCGTCCTGCTTGTAAAATTTGCCGCCGAAGTGCTACTATCGTTCATATGTTCAACGAACGATAACTTATCGTTAATAGAGACAATCTATAATTCTTAATCAAGTGCTAGATTAGAGCAAGAGCTAGCAGGGACCCTTCATCAATTACTTTCCATTAGTCTTCACTAGTGGGCAAGGGGGGGGGGGGGAGGCGTTACGGAGCAAAGCCACGCCGCATCATCCTGTGGTATATCCTGAGGGCCATTTGCGTTGCGCCTTTGATTGCAGCCGCATTAGTAGCGCTGCTCCTGCTAGAGGATTGAGCCATTCATTACTACGACCTGATATGCTCATACTTTATGATTGAATCAAACAAAACAAAGACGACTGCAATTGAAAAGATTTTTGAAAAATAGATGAATTGAGGGATGAATCAAAGGCTGAATCTGGGATGATCCAATGCTGGATGTGAGTTGAAGTGTTCAGAAGGAGTAAAACACGAGAATTAGTAGAGAAAAAGGATAGAAATTTTTCGTCAATGACTTTTCAAGAGAAATTAGCTTTCTCATCTTCTGCTTTCTCTTGGCTTGCTTTGCAGACACTTCCTCATCTATATTTTGATTCGCCCTTGGAATGCGTTTCTCAACCACATTTTGATCTCTTTATCCATGGAGAATAAGGAGAATGGCTCAATCCGCTGGGTAGCTCTAGCTCCTCTGCGAGTGCAGTTAGGAGCGACGCAACGCAAAGGGCCCTCAGAATATACCACAGGCAAATGCGGCGTAGCTTCGCTCCATAACGCCACGCCGCCAGTGGGCAATATGTATGCGTATATTGGACTGAGGTTAACAAACGGCTTCCTTTTTATTTGGTCAAAACTCTAAGCGTCGATGCTTATGAGCTCCTTTTGGATATAAAATAATTTTTGAAAATCACTTTACTAAGTTCTTACAATGGAACGTCAAAATTACGGGTTTGAAGAAGTGCATCAGAATTTTAGATTTCTTGCTTCTTCTCTAGCCGGGGTTTTTCGCAATACCATTTACTTGAAAAAAGGTGATTTTGTAAGACGCTATGAACTTAAAAATTCAAATTGGATAGAACTCATTCAGCAAGCTGATACCTCAAAATATGGGCGATGATCAGGTCTAGAAAAGTCTGCTGTTGTGAGCAAATCTTTTGTAAAGAAAGTCTTGTTTACATAAAATATCTGATTCTCTCTGGATACTCCTTAAAATCTGCTGGCACTTCTCCGTTGCTCCTAAGAGTTGCTTCAATGAAATTTGTAATAGGCATTGTCGTTTGCATTGAACAAACAACATAAGCTCTTACCATAAATTTGCACTTTGTCAACAAAATGGAGATCGCGAGGTTTTCCCGCAGGCGATAAATTTTTTCAAGTTTCTACAGCAAATGCCGAAAACCATAGCGTTTACAAAAATCTATTACTGAAGAAAGTCTCACCTGCACAAGAAGCATCGTCATAAAGTTTGCGAAAAATTCTTCTGGAGTCTTTGGTCCTGTTCGTCTCAAGCTATTGTGGATTTCCTTGAGGTCAACGGTTCTCCCATCTTGTCCAACAAATTGTGTCAAATTTTCATCATCTATTTCACAGATATCACGGCCAAACCATTTACCTACGTGTTCGTTTCGTGCTGGTGGTTCTGGTGGATGTGGTATGTTAACCTGTGTAGTATTTTAGAACATCGACGAAGATTTTTGGATTTAATATTGTGCACGACTGTGTTCGCGTACCTGATTTCCCATTATAATTGCAATGACGCGAATGAAGCGGACAACATCCCTTTGCTCCGGAAGTTCGCGACCTTCGTGGTCTAACAAAGGATGTAGATTTGCCACTGCCTCCTTCATTCGAGAAAAGTCAAATTCTTGATTCTCTATTATTCGTAAGAATTCTTTGGCCCTGTTCTGAACATCAGAACTGTAGTTGCCCTTGATGCACTGAAACACAAATCATGACATGCCTGCAACCAACTTCTCATGTTATAGGCAGTCCCAAACTACATAGATATTATGCTTTTTATTTTTGTTTGTATTTTCTGCTCATATGAGTATTGCTTTGTTCAAGGCGGTTACAAAAAAACATCATTTTTTCACATTTTTTCTCACATATCTCTTGCTCCATATTTCACCGAGTAAACATCATGCACTCTCTCCCTATGGAAGTTTAGCGGTATAAAGCGTATGGTAGCCAGTGCGAGTACTGCGACTTTATTAATAATCAATCCGAGTTCTCTTCCATTCCAAAAGAAGTAGGTGAAGTACTGTTTCTAAACTACCAAGAAAAACATCTGCACCCTTTGCAAGGCATAAGTGAAACTGAGAAAAGCGCAACAAAAACAAGATGCGTAATGCCAGAAAGGAAGGTCTCACTTAAAGCACATATCCATATGTGTTCTTGAAAGGCGAAATTAGTGGATTCACCGGAAGAACCTACGTTGAAAATTTGATTGAATAATGCAGTCATCGCTAATTACTTGCAGAGTTCTCTCACTTCGGCTGTTTGTTCAGAAATAATTCTAAAATAAAAAACGTGAAGTCATACGAGTTTTATATAGTTGAAACATTAAGTCGACTCTCTTACTCGGAGTGAAGCTTTTGGATAATGGTTTCGATTAGTGTACGCAACAAGTGTGAAGTACACTGTATCAAGGTAACACAATATGCTCTAAGGTAAAATATAGAATTAAGAGTTTCCTCAAGAATGTTTGACAAAAACTTGAAGGAATTAATGACTCCATGGAATGAAAAAAATACTTTCTCAGCTTATTCCATATTTGCAAACGAAAATCATTGTCATTTAGACGAATGCTGCACCTGAGACGTAGCTTTTGGTTTCTGTGGAACCACGCGTTTGGTATTGAAGCGAAATTTACTTGTTCGGTGGTCGGCCTTCTTACAATGGTTAAAGACATTCACAAAGCCAATAACATGGTAGTTGAACTTTTCTTATTTCGGGAAACAGAAGTACAGATAAAATAAATAAAAGTGAAAAGGCCTGCAAAATTCAAAAGCGTTTCGAAAAATCGTATTCAAGATAGAGTACGCTCGCGAGGTGATGGAGGTTTCAATCCAGAATCAGAAAAGATAACCAGATCCTAAAGATGTTTTGTTGAGGAGAGTCACTCCGTCATGCTCATAATCTACTTTTTCTTTATCACCAATATGGAATAGCGCTTTCGCCAATGTTGATAGAAATATTTTTACACCAATCATTTATAACATTGATTGAATGTTGCAGAGATTCTCTAACCACAGTGCAATTTTCGTTAATGTATTTTCCGTATATTTTAATATCGTCTGCATACATAAGAACAGTGATATTGAAATGAGGTTTTCTCAAAAACCTAGGTAAAGCTACTGTAGAGATCGTAAATAAGAGAAGTGAAAAGCCTTCTCCCTGCGGAAGACCACTAGAGCAAGGAAAATGTTCAGGGTAGCCTCCATTGAAGCATCCCACCAGACTGGGGGTTCCTGGCTCTAGTAGTGATATTTTAGTAGATCCCCTAACTAAGCGACGACAGAAGTTTGCAGCGCAAAAGGGGGTCTACGAAGTCTACAAATGCCCTTTGCAGCGGGCCTACAAAGTCTACAAATCCCCCCCCCCCCCCAGGTGGCCCGGTGGTCTTACGGTAGCCTCGAACGGGTACAAGATGCATGCAAGGTAGAGACGCAGTGTCGTGCGGTATCCTGCGCTCATGGCTGTGTGCGCTATGCGTGCTCAGGCCTTGCAGTTCGAAATCGTGTGTGGACGGCGTCCGCTCCTACCGTAAGATCCGGGCCACCTTCGGAGCAAATTTCAGGCTTGGTAGACTCCCTTTTTCGCTCCGAACTTCAGTCATCGCTTCGGTACTACTTTAATATCGCCACAAAAACCGGCACCCATATTTTTGCAGGGACGTTGTGATGCGAACGGTCATTTATCTACAATAAGTATGATGTAAGCCAATCTAGAAGGATCTCTTATGTCACAGTGCTTAAAAGGAAACGATACTTGGTGTCCGTGGCCCTTTGAGATTGTACACCATTACACTCATCTTACAGCGCTGATTTCGAATCTGACTTCCGTTTTTGCTAAACGTTTCTTTGAAAAAAGTTATGGAGGATTTTCGCGCCAAAGGAGATGTGGTCGGAATGCCAAAATCGCCGCTAAGATGTGGAGTAGTGGCTACTGCGATAGCCTCGCAAGTTAATGCAGATTTGAGTTCGAGTCCTCTTCTGTTTTTCAGTTTTACATTGCCTCACACAAGCTTCTTTTTGAAAGTTAGGTGTCCTCGACCGTATTTCTCTTGGGCGACCATTGACGCGAAATTCCTTCATAACTTCTTTTAGAGGAACGATTAGCAGAAAAGGAAGTCAGATTTGGAATCAGCGTTTCAAGACGAGGGTGATGGTATACGTTTCATCTTAAAAGGCCACGGATACCAAGTATCGTTCCCTTATTAGCTTTTTATAGTAATTTGCCATGACCTACACCATCTAACGCTTTGGATAAGTCAAAATAAGTGAGATCCACTTTCTGAGCATTCAGAACAGCTCTGATCCAATTATGGGTACGGCCAATTAGCTGTGTAATGTAAATGCTCCGCTAACAAACCCTGCTGCTCAGGGGGAATCACATCGAATTTTCCAAGCCGTGCTAAAGGTTTGTCTCGAATTATCTTTTCCAAGACTGCATGGAACAGGTTTGATACTTATAGGCCTAAAATCCGCTACAGTTCGTGCTTTATTGACTTCTGAAACAAAAGCAGTAACAAAAGCCTCTTTCCAGATAATTGGTACTTCACCACACAGAAGAGATGTATTAAAAATGAGGGGGGGGGGGATATGGAGCTCTTTTGCACATCGTTTGAACACGGTCTGTGGTATACCATCAAAGGCTCGAAAGTTGAATGCTTGAGATTTTAGGATAGCGTCCAACCATAGGGGTGCTTTGCTCTGATTCGTTAGATAAATATCAGTTGGGTCCAGAAGTTTTTCCCGTTTTTAACATGTCATAAAAACACCTGGAATATAGGCAAACAAATGCTCTGAGCACTGTCAAACGCAGTTTTTCTTCACCTTTCCAACAGTATTGGGACTATTGGATTTGAAAATTTCGGACCCATGGTTTTACCATGTCCAATTTTGGCAAATTTTCGGAATCTTCTTTTCGAACTTTTGAAAAAGACTCGATGGCAATTAGCATAAACGAAGTGCAGTGCAATGCAATTTTTTGGCAATTTAAGCTAGCTTCTCAGTATTTTTTAAAACAGCTTTTCCAGAAGTTTTTACTTTTGCGAAGTCACAAAATACACAAACACAACGAACACTAACGAATCTTCTGATTTTGAAACTTTCAAAAGATTACGATTATCCACAATCTTTACAAAGCAACTGAGCGTTTACCGCTTCGAAATAGAAGTTTTCGCATCTTACGTGTACATGCTGAGGCGGACTCAAACTTAAGAATTATGAAAATTTTATCGCCAAAGAACCCACAAACTAAGAAGAAAACCACTTATTAGAAATAGGAGAAAAAGCTGCATCGAATGACTCCTTAGTTGTGCGTCGTTCTATGTTCTATGGCTTTTGGCATCACCAAAAGTTGAATTTGATAGCATCAGAAAATTAATTCTAAAAATTTTTCAAGGCTAGCTTTAGATGCCGAAAAATTGCATTACATTGCGCTTTGCTTACTCTATCTAACTGCCATCAAAGCTTTTCCAAAAGTCATAAATGAAGACTATGAAAAATGCCAAATTTACACACGGTAAAAACATTTTGGCGATTATCTCAGTGACCAAAAGAGTAAGCGGCATAGCAACATTATTGTTAAAAAGAGGAAGAAAAGATGCGTCGGGAGATGCTCAAAGCGTTTCCCTATCTTTGTTCCATGTGTTTTTATGATAGGTTGAAAAACGGAAAGAACTTTAGAAACGACCTAATATTACCCAACGTAACCTTTGAGGCATCAAAGTTTTTGACGCGAATCCAATTGTGGATATATGCGAAAAGACTCCTCGAATTTTCGCACAAGGCAGGGTTTCTTATGATTTGCGAGGAATTTCTTGAGATGGAATGCAATGTCGGAGCAAACTTTCTTATACAGTTCGCTATTATATCAAAATTCTTCAAATAGTTCTCTCCTTTTACAGAAGTGATGATTGTTTGGGATTTTCAAATAAAAATGTGCTGGAGTTCCAAATGTGGAAATCGTTGTCGACTTTGAAGAAAAAGTGTTATACGAAACATTTCTTTATCCGCTCAAATCAACGCAGCTCATATTTGTGGAGAAAAAGATGCGATTGTCGCCTGATTTAGGTTACATTGAGGTCATCAACCATTTTACTCAATTTGTCAAGGGGTAGTGACAATTTCATATGGTCGGCAATTTTCCACGATTTCTTTTAGATTTTCGAAAGCCGTATGCGTTTATTCATAGCAAAATCCGAGCATATGAGTACGGTAGGCTTAGGGTGGCTGGTAGTTCTCATAAATCTAAGATTTTATAAGGTCAAGACTCACAGCAAAAATCATACGCCTGGTGATCTACCACCCCGGGAAAAATCGTTTGATTGAGTAGCTAAGCAGAAAAATTAAAGTCATCGGGCAATCACTTTTACGTAAAGATGTGCAGAGCAAGCTATATTGAATGGTAGTCTGAATACAGAGTTTGTCTACCTTGATGGAGTATTAGCGACAGTGTTCAAGAAACTCAACGGAGACGCCTGTGAATTATACCACTACATTTTGTAGTGTTCTTTCGAAGCATTCAAGCGTAGATAACGATAGTCCAACCATCTTATCTGAGATCAAAAGCCGGCGCCCAGACGGAGATTAGTACCAAAAATCTTAACGGTTGAATCCGC